TAACCATATCTAAGGAACTAGAGGTGATGTGGTCTATCCAATGCAATTTTCTGAATCAGTGTCCCAAATAACCCCAGGAACAGGCCTAAAAACCATGACGCCAAGATTTATTTATTTTATTTTTTTTGGCTGGGCTGTGTTGTCCATACATGTCACCAAGAATTGATGTACCTCAGTTAGACTTTCTCCAAGCTTTCTCTAAGTTGTGGAACTACCTTCCACTGACTCTTTCTGTCTCAGATGACTTTTCCTATACTGTGAAGACTCTTGTTTCTGAAACATCTTTGGACCTCTTAGGAATTGTTCCTAAACTTTTTTGTATGCTATCAGATCACCATGACATTATTAGTGTGGGCAACTGAATGGATGGATTTATTTATGTATCCATCTCTTCATCATATCTATTTTTGTTGTGATGTTGCCTTGCGGTTCATTTTATATGCTTCTCATTCCTCTTCAATCTGTATTTTTGTCATTACTGGCTTTTATTGATTAGAAATGTTGCAAGCCACTTTGGATTTTATGAGGTCAAGGTTGAAATGTTATAAATAAACCAGAAGGGATTTTAAGTACAAGCTATTGATCAAGATGGGATCAGAAGTGAAATGTTGACAAGGCTGGCTCCAGATTGCAGGGATATTCTGTGTGCAGCATTCTCTCCATCGGTGGACTCTTGGTGGTCTTACTTACAGACTGTAAGAAGAGAAGAAGTAGTACCCAGGCAGTGCTAACCTTTTCTACTGATTTAATGCTCATAATGCCACCCATGAAGTGTCACCTCACAGCATTGCAGAAAATTAAGTTGCCATATGGATCAAGCTGTGCAGATATGCTTAATGTACAAGATTAAGGTTCAAGGTGATCTGCGTTGGCTTTGTCTAAATCAGTGTTTCTCAACCTTTCTAATGCTGCGATCCCTTAATCCAGTTCTTCATGTTGTGGTGACCCCCAACCATAAAATTATTTTCGTTGCTACTTCATAACTGTAATTTTGCTACTGTTAGGAATTGCAATGTAAATATCTGATGTGCAGGATGTATTTTCATTCACTGGACCAAATTTGTCACAAATACCCGATACACCCAAATTTGAATATTGGTGGGGTTGGGGCGGGATTGATTTTTGTCATTCGGGAGTTCTAGTTGCTGGGATTTATAGTTCACCTACAATCAAAGAGCATTCTGAACCCCAACAATGATAGAAATGGACCAAACTTCCTACATAAAACTCCTATGACCAATAGAAAATACTGGAAGTGTTTGGTGGGCATTGACCTTGAGTTTTGGAGTTGTAGTTCACCTACATCCAGAGAG